TCTGGGCTGCCCCCGAAGCCATTGTTCCAGACGACCGAAGCCCACTCTGCCTTTAAAAGGGGGTCTTTCTCCCCAGATTGGCTCAATTAGCGGGAAGCTCCCATCCTCCGCTCAACGCTCTTTGTTCCCACGCTGAGACGCAATGGAGGCGCTTCCTGCCCTGCAGCTCTAGCGTCCCATCAAAGCATCCTGCATACACGGTTTCCCAAGCAGCCCCATGTCTCCCAGACACCCCACCTCCAATCCCCCCAGGATCTGCCTTGTGGAAAAGACCCCCCACCCAATCTTTTCAATCCTCTCCCTCCCATCTCCCATGAAGCCCCATGGCTCCATCCCATCTCCCCCTCCCCAGCAAACAGTCGCCTTTCCCTATCCATCCCTTTTTTTTTCAAAATGCGCAAAAAAACCCAGCTCTTTCTCCTCTGATCTGGTGCTGAAGCAAAATGGGGTCTAGTCCCCAAAATAAAATTTAAAAAATTGAATTTTTTATTTTTTTAAAAGAGGGGTTTCCATCCCTCTTATTGTTCTCCAGCCAGGCATTTGGGGGGGGGGGGGGGGGGGGGGGGGGGCAAGAGGAGACAGATCCGGGTCAGGAAGGAGGAAGAGGATTTAAAAAAAAAAATTCTCACCTGCTTTCCTTCCTCTTTCATTTTTTCCTTGTTTAAATTCTTTCCTTCTTCCCTTCCTCTTATTCCCATCTCCTCCCTTCCTATTTTATTTGTTCTTTTTCAATTCTTTCCTTCCTTCTATTCCCATCCATTCCTTCTTTCCAAGCTCGTACTTTAATTTTTTCCTCTTCTCTCCTTCCTCCCTTCTCCTTCCCCCATCTCCTCCCTTCCTATTTCATTTTTGCTTTCTTGAATGCTTTCCTTCCTCATTTCCATCTCCTTCCTTCCTACCGCTCACCCTTTTTCCATTTTTCCTCATTTTTTAAATTCTTTCCTACCGTGTTCTTTTAACTTTCCTTCCTCCCTTCCCGACTTTACCGCCTCCTTCCTTCCATTCCCCCTTAAATCTTTCCTGTTTTTGAAAAATTCCATCCTTCCTCCCTTCCACTCATCCCCATCTCCTTCCTCTTCCTCTTTAATCTTTCTTTTTATTCTTTCCTTCCTTCCACGTATCCCCATCTCCTTCCCTCCCTTTTCCTTTTTAAAATTCTTTCCTTCCTTCCACTCATCTCCAGCTCCTTCCTTCCTCTTTAATCTTCCCTTTTTTAATTATTTCCTTCCTTCCTCCCTTCCACACTCATTCCCATCTTTCCTTCCCTTTTCTTCCTTTCTCCCTTTTTTCCTTAATTCCTCCTTTCCTCTTATCCCCATTTCATTCCTCCCTCCTTCCTTAATCTTTCCTCTTTTTAAAATTCTTTCCTTCCTTCCTTCCACTTATCCCCATCTCCTTCCATTCTTCCTCTTTAATCTTTCTTTTTATTCTTTCCTTCCACTCATCCCCATCTTCCTTTCTTCCTGTTTAATCTTTCCTTTTTAATCCTTTTCTTCTTTCCACTTATCCCCACCTCCTCCCTTCCTTCCTCCCTAATTTTTCCTTTTTAAAATTCTTTCCTTCATTCCTTCCACTCATCCCCATCTCTTTCCTTCCTCTTTAATCTTTCCTTTTTTTAATTATTTCCTTCCTCCCTTCCACACTCATCCCCATCTTCCCTTCCTCTCTTCTTTCTTCCTTTCTCCCTACTTTTTCCTTCTTAAAATTCCTTCCTTCCTCTTATCCCCACCTCCTTCCTTCCTTCCTCCTTAATTTTTCCTTTTTAAAATTCTTTCCTTCATTCATTCCACTCATCCCCATCTCTTTAATTATTTCCTTCCTCCCTTCCACACTCATCCCCATCTTCCCTTCCTCTCTTCTTTCTT